AGTGTCTGCCCACCCTTCAACTGTCAAACAAGTTGGTCTTATGTTCGCTCTGATTATTTCCAAATGTGCCGGCAAGTGAGCCCTCCAAACATGAGCTGGCTGGCGATGTCACAATGTGACTTATAGAAAAATCTCCGCCCTCATTGATCCGTTTCGTGAAAATATCAGAGAGCTGTACTGAGGCGCCTGGAACGCGGGAACCATCGTGCATAGTCTTCTACTCAACTTCACAGCCAAGTCAATTGTATCAGCAGTGCCGATATTTGAGTTTCAAGTCGAAACATGCATCAAAGTTCAAAGGAAAACTATCCTTAGAGAATACAACCCAACTGGTGTAACAATTGGTCTAAAATTGATTTGAGTCCAAAACTTTTGAAATTGTGACAGAGGGGCTTGTGGTTACGACTTCAGTTTTAGTTTTGTGCTGCAAAAATTGCAACACGGCAGAAGTTGGACAATTTGAGCCCACATCGGGCAGGCAACTTTGATTGGAAACGTGCGGATGTTTGTAATGCGGCGACACGAGACGTCAACTGCCGCGTTTCGCCAACCGTTGTTTAGCTGCCAATTTATTTGCCGCTTGCGATTACAAAACAAGAGTGTGTCATGGTGGTTATGTTGTAATGTTTGACATTACGTTAGCAGTCTAGCTTAAGTTAAAATCAGTTCATGTTAGGAAAAAAAATAGTCCTCGATGCTAAGTAATTCGGTTAAATGTGTTCATCCTAGACCTGTTAACTCAATTCTTAATGACAATACGTCAAAGGTTCCTGGACCGCGGAGGTTTCTCGACTCCAAAGATGTCATGTGAAAAGATTGCCATTGACGTCTAAGGTTCCTGGACCGCGGAGGTTTCTCGACTCCAAAGGCTCCTGCACGTCAACGGTTTCTGCTCTCCAAAGGTTTTTGGACATCCAAGGTGAGTCCAAATGTTCCAGGATGTTTTGCGCTTCTAAGCTAATGCTTCTGGACTGCAGAGCTTCCTGGCCACCGATGGCTTTAAGGTTCTCTGGAATATTCTCTCGAGTGTTTTGCATCTTTCATTGATCAAGCGTAGCAGTTAGAGCTACATCGCAACGCAAAAGCGTTTGACATGCACGGAAATAAGTCTGTACATCTTATTGCTATCAAGCGGACGCTTGGAGTTGTGCTGCGTACTTCAAGGTCAGAAATTCTCATGCTTTTCCTTCCAAACTAATTTCTCTTCACCTCTGAGCATGTGCATTTGTTAAGAGTTGGCAAGAGGACAGCTGAGTGACACCAGATCAAAGTGCAAGCGAAAAAGAAGTCGCGCGACAAAAGAAGCGTCCGGTCGCCAGAACGCGAGGCTGGAAACCCCTTGAGAATGATTGACAGACCTCCAGCTGCTACTGCAACAGGTCCTTAAAGACAAAATCGGAGAAGAATTAGAGACCAAACCAAAAGAGAATTTCATATCAAGATTAGAATGACCAAACTGATTATATTACGGAAATAAAGACTAAGTCACAGATTCATACTCCAAAAACAGTGAGGGGGGGACGAATTGCTGGGTGTGTGATTCACTATCATGATGGATTTTTTTTTTGGTGGCTCCATTTTTATAGAGCCCTATCAATTATTGAACCATACAGGTGACGTACAAAGCCATCGGTCAGCATCTGCACCGCGTCAACGTCAGCCTACCTCGTCAGAGTCATCGTGAAAGTCGATCTTTCCGTTGACTCCGTGTTCGCTGTCCAACTGGTCGTCCAAGGTGTTGTCCACGCCTTCCGCCGCGTTTTCGTTGGCCTGTTGCTGCAGTACCGAGTATCTGTGGACCAGGAACCTACGAGGGACACAAATCACTCACTCCACATCTGCCTTTCTGGCGCGAACAAAGAACAAACTGGTTCCTGGTCAATAACAAAGCACGCAGTGGCAAATAACCAAAATGCAGTGGCACCTCTACTTACGAGCGTCTCTTCGTACGAAATGTTCAAGTTACGAAACGCCTCAACAGGAAAAGCCTCGTTACGAAATAAATTTCAAGATACGAAAGGTAAAAATACAGTCTGGTCTGATAGTCGCAGCTCCGAGTTTCCCGATCGCAACATACTGATAGCAGCTCTGCCATTGGCTATTGCCAAGCATCACCCTGGCATCCCATTGGCTAAGAGGGACCTCTACCATACATGTCGATGTGTGTCGATAGATAAATAGATCGATATGTGTCCATGCACTGTCCTTGTCATTCGGCCCTCGGGGCATGAGGCGTTCCGATAGTTTTACGGTAATGTGAATCACCCAGAAAAAGTGTTCACCAGTCGGGCGATCGCTCACTATGCTGATCTTTGGCTTGGACATTTTCGAAGGATTGTTACAGGCCGACAAAAGCAAACCTTTTTGGGTCAGTTCTTGACAAAAACCACTACTGAGAGAGAACATGGACTGAAGCGGGCAATAAACGATGAGGACGCAGTTAAAAGTTAAATGACTGTCATTTTTATTCTTTACACTAATTTGTTTTTCACATTATGCACAAATCTCATTTATTGTGCAATCATCTAATTGTAACATTTATTTGTTACACATTTTGATGCATTTTAATGCTTTAGAAAACATTTATGTCTGAATTTTGTGGGGCTTGGAACGGATTAGGGCATTTACATGGAAAACGCGTCCCTACTTGAGAAAATTTTATAGTTATGAAATTTCTTCCAGAACCAATTCATTTCGTAAATAGAGGTACCACTGTACATGCGCCAGGCAGCAATACATAAAGATGGCAGAGAAGTGTCTTAGAACTTTTCTCTGTGCAAATATTATACACTCATTCCCACTACATTTCATTTGGATCCTATACACGCACACACGCACCTCCCATTCCCCTGAGAGGAGGGTTAATTGGGCGGGAGAAAAAAAAAAAAAAAAGGCACTCGAACCTGCCGCCGCAGACGTATTTCTTGATGAAGAGGACTCCGGCAGCAACGCTCAGTAGCATGATGACTATCGTGAGCACAATGGCTACAGATGTAGTGGAGTTGCCTTTTTTCTGCTAGAAATACAAAAGCAAGATGTGACAATTGAAGAGCCTCGAAAGAAAAAAAAAAGAAGGGGAGAAAAGTGGAAAGAAGAAAAAAAATAAAGAATATATGAAAAAAAAACCAAAAGAAAGAAAGCCGGAACCTTTACTGACCTGCATATCCGGGCCCAGCAGATCACTCACACACCTCACACTCAGGTCAATTTCTTTACGTTCAGGAATCGTACCTCCCTCACATTTATCACCAGGGATTTTCCTGTAGCTGTAGAGACAATGTTTATTAGCTTTCGCATTAGATTTATTCATTTTTGAAAAATATATGGTGTACTTGTCAGGTGCGAGATTAAAAAAGGTTACAAACATCCACTTGTGAAACACAGCCACTGTGTAACAATCCACAACTTTAAAGCGCAAACACTGGAAATGCGGTGCACAGCTTTGAGATTCAACAAAATTTCCAAAAAAAAAAAAAAAATTATATCTCCTCTGATTTCACAGCATAAATGATTCCAACAAAATAAACTGAATATGTCGCCGTTGTGCAGAAAACCCACATATCCAAAGAGTGACAACTGCATATTTTTTCACATCTCCGTACAATTGGTCTGTCCCTGAACCAATGTCATTTTGTTTCAAATATTTCAAGGGGGTCCAATTAAGTTTGGGTAATAGGATTCGGGTTTAGTGCAGTTTAGGTTCATCCTGAAAGTTCACCCCATTTTTGCAAGCAGTGTCAATACGAATGATTGGAACAAATACATGAGACACCCAGCGCCCCCCCAAGGAACCCAAACCTGAACCAAGAACTATATCTTTCATGCTGACTGAAATGAAGTCTGGCAAGGTTCTTATTACCCTTGGGTCCGCAGCTGTTCCTCTCGACCATGCAGACAGAACTCCAGCATCTTGCCTTGCAGGTCCGGCTCCTCCACACACTCGGCGCTATTCTCTTTGCGGTAGTATCCAAAGTCGCTACGTCAACGAGGAAAAGACGTCACAAAAGCGGCCTTGGAAACAATTGTGACTGACATTTGTTCAGATTAATTGTTTGACTATTTTGACTTTCTGGTGCCCATGTCAAGTGGGTCTAGTTAGACCTAGTTTGTTATCTTGACTTTCAGAGTTTTTGTGACATGAGGTGCATGAATTCATAGTCCGTCACAAGATGTAAATTAAGCTTGAGAATGAACCAGCGCCCTTCATCGCTGGGTCTTCTGACTTACCAGAGGAAGTCGTACAAAGTGCACGGACAAGGCGTCAGCTCCGTGCTGACCAAATAATCTCGTCCGTTCCAGCAAACGGAATCTTTGCGGAGACGCCGGAATGTTTCCCTGTAGCCCAGGATGCAACCGTTGCTGGGATCGCTGATATTATCCGAGTGCGACAACCACTGCACGTAATCGCGCGTCACGCCTAGAAAGAAAGTCAAAAAATAAAAATAAAAAAGTGACATAGGGGCCGCCGCACTCCAATTTACATGGTCAATGCTCTTGCTGCGTTTCCCTAAGCGTAAAAATGCCCTTCCTGCTCTTCACTGAACGGGACAAACAGGCAAACACACAACCGCAAAATGAATACACCCACAACGAGCAGACAAGAAGAGTATGAGTGCAGCTCCAGGCATCTCTGACTAAGCCACGCTCCCTAAAGCCTGTATGTCACTGAGCCGCGGCCGTTAGAGCGCGCAGCAAATGTTGGTCTTTCGTCAGGGTTCTTAAAAGATTGCAGTTTTTTTTGTTTTTTTTTTGTCGCAAAGCATTTTTGGACCTCCTCAAACTTTCTTTACGACAAGAAAAAAAACTTTTTTTAAACTGTTGGCGAATGTCCAGCGAACGTCTTTGCGGCCGTTTGCGACCTTGAACGCACCCTAACGGAAATCAACACTCAGGCCGTGTGCAAACTCGCCAAACTTGGTCGCTCGGTGAGATGCGGGCTGAAAAGGCACACATCAGCATGTCCTAAAATGTGTATGTGGGTGACATTCGTGAGACGCAGCGGCTTAAAAGGCGCATTCCTTCGGTGAAGCAGTGTATGTTAAATAATTTCTTCGAATTGTTATTCATTTCAGAGATGTATCGCCATCATGCTAGGTTCAGACCCGTCGAAAACATTGGGCAGCGCCGCGTGCAACTACTCAAGGGTTGCTTCGAGAAGAGAAGAGGGAGGGAATCCTTCAACAGACACAAAAAAAGTTGAAACATTGCTCGTCAATCTGGTGACCGGTGATCGTGTTATTACGTTGGCTAATGCTAAATGCTATGCTGGTTGACAGTTCAACAGCTGAATGCACTGGGTCCCAGCAGCAATTGGAAACTGACCATGTCGTTTACATCGCGCCGGTCCCACATTGTAACGTTGGAAAAAACGCAACCGGAAGCGCCACACCCCACCCATACGTGGTCCGCGGTACCTCTGCTCCATAGTGTTGCCACTCACAGTCTCTGGTAATGAGGTCCCGGAAGTCGATGGTGGTGGAGACCCAGTGCTGGTTGAGGATGCTGGTTTTGTAGCCCCAGATGCTGACGTTCATGGAGCGGGCGCCCGGTTCCGACGCCAGGCCCGTAAAGAAGATGGGCTCCTCGGTGAACTTGTACGTGTGCCAGCACTGTCCTTCATCCGTAGAGAACCTGTCAGGACATCAGAGAGTCGACAAACATAAACAAGTCAATCTTTTGCGAGCTACCTAATTCCCAAGATGCATTTGAGTGTAGTGACTCTTTAACATATTCCCACCCCAGCACTCAAGTTTTAATCCCACGATTTGGCAGAAGTGATCTGCCACTTTTAATTCACTGACTATGTTTATATTTTGTCAATATTTGGGTGAAGGTCGAAATTCATTTTCGGGATGACCCATTTGCATGCGCGACTGTCATCAATTGGGATATCCTGAGCTAAACAGGCATTTCCGCTTCTTACTTTCTACCATGAGGCAAGAACGCTTACTTGATCTCGTCGACCGGTTCATCGGGGCTGTGCTCCACGGCCACAAGCAGCCCGCCCGAGTCCAGAATGGCATAATGATGCGGCCCATCCAGAGCCTTCATCCACGTGTAGCCGCCGTCATCAGACACAAACACGTCGGGGGTCATCACCGAGACGTCGTTGCCGATACTCCCTGCCAAGATTCGGGCGTATATGTCCACTTCGACATCATGGTCCAGAAATGTTGTAAAAATGTGTCAAAGAGAACGATTTGAAATTACCATGGGCTAATATTAAGCCCACAGCGTTCGGTTCGCTCAGGGGCAGCATGGGGACGTTTAGCCTCATAGCAGTGCTGTATGTCGCGAGGATGTGGAGAGCGCACTGTTCAGACAGAGACAAAGTACCATTTAGTACATGTGCAGCGGTACCTCCAAAGTCCACCACAACTGATGAAATGAAATCGAACGGCATAGTCGTGTGAATTCGACTCAAATGTATTTCTTCAGCACTTTTAAACAATATAAAACAAACTTTTGTACCTGGAGCAAAAAAAAAAAAAAAAAAGTGCTGATCAATCTGTTGTGCGCATGTTGGCCACTAGATGGCAATATCATAAATTCCTACACACTACACAGCAGTGATGATGAACTGCAGATCAGGTCCCGATCGTCACACTATACCGCACAGTCCTCAGTGAAGTGGACCCAAAGTAGAAGTGCATGTAGTGTTTGAGAGCGCAGGTTACAAGCGTGCAAAAATTTCAGAATTGGAACACCAACTGGCGCCACTGAGTTGGATCCGCTTGTTGTTTTGGCAATTTTGCTGCTAAAAAATGGATTAAAACTGCAGCGAAGTCGTAGTTAAAGTAAAAACACGGGCTTGGGCTCCGAGACGACGGCACTATGGCACTATTTGCAATGCACGATCTGCGGTCGCCAAGTATGGCAACTGAATGGGAAGAAGCCATAAGTGAATTTGACATCTTTTTCTCCTAACAATTGCAGCTTTTCTGGGGAAAACGTCTTTTTCAAAAATATACAACTTACATACAAGTGGGGTTTTCTTCTAAAATGAAAAAAAAAAACGTTTTTTTCTCGAGATCCACAGCTGTCTTTTTATTTGACATTTGGGAAAACCTTTTATGTTGAGCCATTGGGCCAATCTTTTACACCCGACTTTTGCAAGGAGTCTGAAATTCAAGGTTTGTGTTTCTGGTCACTTGCTATAATTGCCTCCTCACCTCTTCTGGTCGCTTGCCTTTTGAGTCACAGTTGCTGATGGTGGGCTTCCGCAAGGGGGTCCACTCTCCTCCCATGTTTCGGGTCATCACTGACCTCACGGACTTGTCTGCAACAGCACGTGAGCGTTTCTTTTACTGACTGAATTATGGCTCGGCCTTAAAATTAAATCCGACCCCCCCGCCTTCCCCACAAAAATCCAGTAGCAATTCATAATCCCCCCCCCCCCTTCACTTATAGAAAAAGCAGATGACAATGACATTCAAACCATGTTTTGTGTCTTGTTTTGTTTTTGTCGTTACGGGATTTACTTTATCGATGCTGATACCAGACGAGTTTTTGCTAATTATTTTTCTGGATCCCATCGATCTACGGCTGCCTGAGCCCTTGTTTGAGAACCGCTGCTCTAAGGCACGTGGGCAGACCTACCTTCGGTCAGGGTGCTGGTGATAAAAACTCCCCGCAGGGAGGTGATGTTGGTGAAGTCGGACTCGCCCCCTGTGGTGGTGTAAAGGTGGCGCTCCAGCGACTTGGAGAAGACGGTGCCACGGTCATCCGACACGTAAATTGTGCCGACGCCATCATCTGGGCAAACAGATGACGATGGAGTCACGTTCTTCAGCCAAACCGAGTCAGGTTATTGGACTGACCCTCCGGTTCGTCGACGTGCATGAAGACCATGTCGTTGCTGGCTCCCAAGATGGAGTAGAACTGATCGGAACCGATGGATGGCAACTGAGCCATGTTCCAGGTATCGCCCTGGTCCACCGACACGTGGATCCTCCTCTGAGTTGCCTGCAAAGAAATGCCAGCGGCAACGTGAGGGGAAGAGTTGAGAAGACGACATCGAGAGACCACCAGTGACGACGGTCAAAAAAAAAGGTCTTCAAAACGCACGGATAAAGGATTAAAAGATGTTCAGATGACGGCTTTTACGTTTCAAGCAATGAATTCAGGCCATCAAGATGGATTTTTTTTTTTTTTATTGATAATCATATTGATTACTCTGTTGACTAAAAATTGATCGGGCATTAAAATTGATCGAAAAATGATTTTTGGACTTATTAGCCAATGACTGCGGTGTATTAGGTATTGCATAATTTTAAAAAGTAAATCAGGAAATAAATAGGTCGAGGAACCAGCAACGGACGTCACCCAAGAGGGCGTGGCAATCTCAACCTTTTTGAAACAGAGCTACTTCTTGGGTACTGATTATTTCTTTCCAAGAGCTACAGCGATACACTTCTGAGGCAAAATTATGAGAATTTTTCGAATAGATAAAGATGACTATCCCCCCCACCCAACATGTCAGAAAACAGTCCAACACAACCTAACAGCGGTAGGGCACGTTTGCAAATTTCAATCATCTTTCCATGAATTCAACACCAAGAAGCGTATACAAAGGCCCGTTAGTTATTATTTTTATTATTATTATTTTAGAAATGCCCAAACTTTTTATGGACACGACAACATGCTGCGTCTATTTTGCCACAAACCCACCTCGCCCGTCATCACAGAAGCAAAGAGGAAGCGACCGCCGAGGCCGAAGGAGTAGATCTTGTTGGCGACGGTCTTGATGTTTTGCCCGAAATCAGTCGTCCTCCTGATCTCCAGCGCTCCGCGGGCATCTGAGCAAACACAAGGGGGGCAAACTAGTTGACCAAAACTGCGCGCCGGCAACACCGGGTAGCAGCGAGGCACTCATGAATGGTTGCCAGTTTGGAACACTTACTACAGGATCCATTGCGATTGGTTAAAAAAAAGATGGCATTCTTCGTCCCCCTGGAATGAAAGTAGGAACGCTTTTTTTCATTCATCACGACGAACAAAAGTGGGTTACAGCAAAGGCAGGGACAACGATTCGGTGTTTATTTAAAAGAATAGAACGCAGCACGACGGCAATTCCTCGATATTCGTTTTTGACGGCCGCTGTGCGTACAACAGCTTTACTGGTCGCGGCATTAAAATATCCGTTTGAAATCTAACACACTCGACTATCAACATGACTCAGGCGACAGGCAAACATACAAGGAAGTGCCTCCGGGACAACAAGGCGAGTCTGCTTGCCAAGTGGCTTTTGACTGCAAAGGTTGGAGCAATGAGGAAAAGACCCCGGGGAATTGATGGGAACTTGTTTGTCTTTTGCCAGCGTTGGGAGTTATCAAGTTGGATTAACTGGGGCATGAACTACATCTTCGATATCAACACCTCTCGGAGAGTGTATAGAAGAGGACTTTAGAACACGCGCCTCATAATCCAGGCGCACTGGATTATGAGGCGCACCTTCAATGAATGGCCTATTTTGTTTTGTTTTTTTTTCATATATTGGGCGCACCGCATTATAATACGCAATCTACAATGCCTCCACTAGATGGAGCTACGCTCAAGGAAATACCAACAGAACAATCAGATGTCAGTAAAACTTATTGAATAAAGCAGCGACACAGTTCACTTAACCAACAGCAAGTTAGAACAGTGACTCGTTAACGTTGAACTCTCTTGCCGCTGCTCTATTTCCGTGTTCAACTACGGAACCAATCGCCTTAAGTTTGAACTCTGCGTTGTCAGCACGTCTCGAGCAAGGAGCCATTTTGGGGGTTGACATATTACCGTAATGACCATACACGAGGCGCATCGGATTTTTAGGCGCGCTGTCATCTTTTAAGAAAATGGAAGATTTTTAGGTGCGCCTTTTAGTGTGGAAAATACGGTACTATCTGAAGAATGAACAGTAAATTAAAGTTGATGCCTATTATGCTGGATTTTTTCAGTGCCTTGCATCTCGGCAGTTTGAGTGCCAACCGGGTCGATCTTTGGTTAACTGCCTACGGGTAGTTTTGAAAACATGTATCTGCAAGCCAACGTTTTGAAGACAAATGGCAAAATAAACACCCACAGCACACCGCAATTTCGCAGTTGCCCATGCCAAGGCAAATAGCAGCTACGCTATTTGGGCGCTCGTAATGGACGGATTTCTTTGCATATAAATGTACGATCACAAATGATTGATGAGAGGAAACGATGCTCTGATTAAATTGCTGTCTGTAAATGTTTGTCAAAATGATTTGTGGGAGACATCCTGAGCATAGTTTCCACAGTTGAGTTCCCAGGTCTAACTAGTACACTGAACGTTTGAGTCTACGCCGCTACTTAGCGGAAGCTAAAGCTTTGAGAACACCGTTAGCAGGGGCGTGGCGGCCAACGGGAATTTCAAGAGTTTCCTGACCGGCTGGTCCATTTTCATTTTGTTCTGCGAATATACCTTGTCCCCAGTTGAAGCACAAAGTATATGTTTGCCTCCCTCCCCATGCGTCATCTACTTTTCCACGAGTGATCCGAAGATTCAGGTATTGTGGGTAAATGTCCAAAACTGAGAGCAGACTTGCCCCGCAAAACTCTGAATTGGGCATCACGCCCTGCAGTGTGAACGTGGCCTGTCTGAACGCGACATCGAGCTGCCGGGATGAAAACCACACGTAAATAGAATATTCTGCACCTCTTCCCGACTTCCACAGACTACTTTCGATTGCCCGGAGAGCTTTGAAATCCGCGGCAAATGCCGCGATCGCGGAATCCCAGATTCCTACTGAATGGAATGTGTTCATGTCGCATGGCTTTGTGATGGCGTGCAGTCCATGTACAGTACGGCGTTGATGCTTTGCCGAGTATTCTTTCTCTGCCTGGCCCGTAACCACATGTAAGCAAACGAAATACCGGCGTGTGTTCTTTCAGTCTGCAAACTGCCCCGCTGACCATTTGAACTCCTGAGAGGCATCATATTGTGACCATCCTCTCCATTTTAAGTGGTTTGCCGCCATTTTGTAGATGATTACAAACCCCTTTTAGGAGAGGCGTCAATTGCTGGCGTTTTTTTAAGTTTTGCTCTTCGCGGCAGGCCTTATCCCACTTCACTGTAACTCCACTTTAATACTGAGGCTTGTGGACAAGCGGTCGGTCTCTCACCATTTCACCATACAGACCATGTTGTGAATCTTGATCCAATTGTGGCCAAAATCTTTCGTCAGCCACAGCTCCCTCTGAGGACAAAAATAAGGACACAAACAAACGTGAACGGAGCTGAAGCTGAACAAACTAGGACAGTGTTAATAAATGTACTCTGTGTCAACACTTGACTGATTATTGACGAGCAGGAGTGATTACTGCAATAAAGTCGAGAGGAAGAAGGTAGGTCAGCTGTCCAGAGTTGAACTATGCATTAGATCATTCTGAATCCAGTATTTTTTTTTTCTTCAACATTTTGAAGAGTTCCCAGGTGTCAATTTTTCCACGATATGTCCCCCGCCTGCTTACTTTGTTGCTGAGGCCCAGCAGCACGTCGGAATTCTCCGGATTGTACGTGATGGCCGAGGTTGGATTGAAGGGCAGCTCCAGGTGGGTGAAACTCTTTCCAAAGTCGCTCGAGACAAAGATCCGAGAGCGGTGACCACCGGACACCTCGCCAGTCAAGATTACCTACCCCGGCGTGGGACAAAATCCAGATTGACCAATCCAAAAAGATATCACACCGGGAAACTGCGGGTGCACTTCACTCACTTTGCCGGAATTCTCGGGGCCGATCGCAATGCCAAACTCCGATCGGATGAAGGTGTTGTTGATGAGCTTGGTGACGTCCAGGAAGGTCTTACCATAGTCCTCACTGGAAGAAATCAAATCACCGTCAAATCGGAGAGCGACTCGCCGTGCCTGACATCAGATGGGACAGCAGCACAAATACCTTCGATAGAGTTTCGACTGTCCTAAATTGATCATGAAGATGGGAACGTGGAATGTGGTCAAAGCTAGGATGACCTGTCACAAGAAGGAAAACGTATAGCATTGGATTAAGGCGGGCTGATTCGTCCATTTTATCAATTAGTGCGACTTCATTTGTTAGGCCGCTTATTCATCTCTACCCCTCAAAGCGGACGGCCACGAATTTGCACAGCAGCTTTGCGACCCCTCGGGTGACTATTCCCCCTCCGCTAAGAAACAGACGAGTCACTAAGATGTCAACACTAACCGACCTTTTGTGAACTCGGTTCTCTCTGTTTCCAGCCATGCTGTTCAAGTTAGTCGTGCACAACAAAAACAAGAAAAAGGATAAACAGTTTAGGTGACATGACACTTACCCCCGTGCCATCTCCAACCCAGGCCAGTAACACCGATCCACTCAGGTCATTGAAAGTATGCTGAAAAGACAGGGAGGGGGTGTGCTAGTTATTGGTCACATTCATGGTGGAAGAGGTTTTGAAAATCATTTATCCAAATCATATTTATTCATCAATCATTGATTTGATCATAAAGGTTGAGTTGACTTTTTAGGTCCACCGTAAGTCAGTTTTCCACAAAAGATGCCATCCTCCTCCAGGCAAGGTGACTTCTGCTCATTTTTCACAGCAATGTAGCGAGCAAGCAATTAGCACAACTCAAATGTTTCCAACATGTGGATAAATGACTGCTTTTGAAACGTTTATACGGCAACCATGACTGTTGGATGTCTTCAAACAGAAAAAAAACAAAAAAAAAAGAACAAGCCAAACTACTAATAACTAGCACACAGCCGGTCACAAGGCCACTTCCTTGCGCTCCTCTCCGGTCGGGAAGATAGTTGAGAGCAGGGGTCAGCAATATGGTGCCCGTGGGCACCAAGTAGCTCCCAAAGACGACATAAGTAGGCCATGGGCTTGTGCTAACATTAGCGCACCAATAATGGGCCTTGTGATTCATCATTTGAAAATGTAAAGACTGGGAGAGATTTATCGAAATAAAAATGTTACTGTGAGAAATCGTGAAAAAGATGAGGGTCTTCACATAAATGATTATCATGAATAACAACTTCAGTGTATTTCTGGAGCTGGAGCACTTCAAAAGAAGTCGTTCTGAGATTCACAAAGTTTGGCGAAGGCAGGTTTGAAGTTAAAAACCCAAATTAGATCGTCGCAACACACACACAAAAAAAAAACACAAACAACAGAACACTGAAGCGGTTAATCCGGTTGAGAGCTATGCAGCGAGTATAACGAGTTAAACTTCCTCAACATAGTAGCCCGCGGGATTCCTGAAAAAAAAGTCAGTGTTACTCCACACTAACACAGTATGTGCCTTGGATAATTGATCCAAGGAACAAATGTGACCATTTGGCCCAAAACACAACAGGAGGTTTAAAAGACGAGCTTGGTGGCCATGCCATGGCATTAGAGCGACATCATTGTTGTAGCAATGTTGATCGGAAAGGTTTTGCAGAAAAAGGTGGAAGATTTTACAGAACTGACAGAGTATTTTTGCACACGACTGACCTGAATGAGTTAGACATGAGGCTATTTCAACAATTTGTATGACAAAAAGGGAGGAGCTTCATTGAGTCAGGCCATAGCTTTTTCAAAACAAAAGTTTTTTGCCACAATCCTATGGCATGTGTAAGAAGTCACAACCCTTTTTCTGTGGGGATTCCCTGGAGATTTTAACTATTTTTTGTTCCGTCTGCAATCCAGCCACCGTTTTAAGGTCAATTAATCGTTGAAATACAGGTACACTGACTTCAGCAGTGGCAAAGTAATACAGTATTGTACAATATATTGCAATTGTGATATTTTGTCCCTCCCAACAGTTGTGCGCCTGCAATCAGGCCTCTGTTTCAAGGCCAATGAGTGTAACTGCTACTGAACACATTTTGCTTATCAATATGTTACAATAGACTACTATAATTACTTAGGCCAACCCAAAGTGTTCAGCACCTGCATTCCAGCCACCATTTCATGGGCCAGTTAGGGTCCATGGACCAGAGCCGCTATTTTCGATACAATACGATATATCACGAATCCAATAATTTCTCCCACGTGTACAATTCTGTAACTGCAATCCAGTCGCCATTTTAGTGTGCCTGGACTATTGCTTCCATTTTAAACATGTTGCTGTATCGATACAGTGTTGCAACACCGATATTTTGTCAGCCTTTATTCTCCGGCACCTGCATTCCAGCCAGCAGTGTAGAAGCCATTTAATTAGGGCACATGGACAAAAGCTATTTTACATATTTTCTTCGACTGACAGAGAACGACATATCATGGTACCGATATTTGACCCACACATTCAGTTCTGCACCTGCAATCCAGCCGCCATTTTAGGGCCAATTGGCGTACCTGCCTACCTGGGCCGTTCAACGTGTAACTGGAGCGCAGCTGATAACTTACACGGTGCGTATTGTTCTCCAACTTGGCCTCAAATCCTTGAAGAGCGTCGCAGGAGGCGTCCGGCTGGGCGCTCCTCTTCCTCACGCTGTGATCCCAACCTGCCGCCGCGGACCCCTTGGCTCGGTTCGAATCTCGAAAAAAAGTCCGTCCGGACGCTTTGTTGAGGTCCAGGAAATCCGCACCGGCTGTCAGAGTTAAGAGGGACAACAGCAGAAAGCAGCGGAGCGAAAGTCCCATACTTGTCGCCACTGTAAGATTAAAACAAAAAACAAAAAAACAAAAAGAGTTTGGAAAAAGAAATTTATATTGAAGCCTCGCTGATATAATTGAAGGTCGCTACGGGCTTTGGTGGTGCGAATGACATCAACAAAACACAAACGCCGCTGACAGCGATAATTTCACGATTTTATATCCGATACATAGACCCTCAAGTCCAGTAAATAATGTAAAAATATAAATATCTATGTACATACAGTATAATAATTGACGATGGGAGCGGAACGCCAAAGACTGTGAATGGTCCACTTGACACCAAGCGGACTTTTTGGCTCTGTACCGCCGCTCACCGAAAAACGATGACGCAATTGGCTGACATTACATTAGGCTCCACCCATTTTCTCAATTTGATTGGTTATTTGGATTGAGGGCGGTGCCATTACGAGGAGGTAACAATGGGTACAGCTGTCAAGAGACGTCCATGGTAGGTTGAGAGCAAAGCTGTCATGTGGAGCGACAAAAGAAACAAAACCCAATTAACTATTAATCTGTCAAAAGAAAATTTCAAATACTTTCCCCCTCAACACAGGACGCCAACTCTTTTAACGGCATTCTAATTAATTTCGACTTACATTTTAAATACTCATGATAGTGACGAAGTAATTCAGTCGTTTACAGACATCCCCCTCACAAACCTGATTTGGGGGATTCGAATCTGGACTCTGGCCTTTATTTGTGGAGCAGACGTGCTTACCAGTCGATCCCCGTACTCTCTCTCTCTCTCTCTCTCTCTCTCTCTCTCTCTCTCTCTCTCTCTCTCTCTCTCTGTGTGTTTGTGTCTTTTAATAAACATAAGATTTTAAACATTTATTATTATTCTGGGAACGTGTGTTCCACATGCACGCAACCCTGTTGCCATGACCTTTTTAACACGGCAGAAGAGAAAAGCAGTGAATCACATGACCCGCTGGACTTGACATCCTCAGTTTTCCAAAAGAATGGATAGAGCAAATGTATGTCCACAGTTTTATAAAATAGTTGATTGAATGTCTTACTGTACCTCATACAACTCTGTCAGTCATCTGATCAGAAGAAGACAATTTTTGATTCGAATTTTTTCTTTACTTATTTAGTTAACTAACTAACTAACATAAGTAAATTTGTCCTCTTGGTCAACAGTAATAGCTGGCTAAAAAGCTAACTTCTACTCCCGAGCAAAAGCTTAGGGTTCATTTTTCAAGGTTCATTTTTCAAGAATTTTGAAGCTAAAATCTTCTCCAATTCTGGAATGACCCATAGCTAAACATGCCAGGTCACATTGACCCAGTTACATTATTATCAAGGTCACGGGAGGTCCGTCATAGTGTGTGTGTGTGTGTGTGTGTGTGTGTGTGTGTGTGTGTGTGTGTGTGTGCGTGTCTCTGTGTGTGTGTGTGTGTGTGTCTGGGAAAACCTCAGTGGGGCTTTTAAGGATGTGAATATATATACACACACATAAGAGCAATAAACTCTTCATATCCTGGAAACTTCACTAATATAAATGTAATAAGTCTTGATTTTTTTTTTGTATCTGATATCGCAGTGTGAGACCACCTAAGAGGATAAATGCAAGTATTTGTTGAGAATGGGAGAAGCAGATCATGTGCTCTTTCTCGTCAAGTTATTTGATTTGTATCTGATATAGCAGTGTGAGACCACCTCAGAGGATAAATGCAAGTATTTGTTGAGAACGGGAGAAGCAGATCATGTGCTCTTTCTCGTCACGTTATTTGATTATGCTCTTGTTTACTCGCCGGGCGGCAAAACCAGTCTGACACGTTTCCATGATGCCCGGTAGTGAAAACAAGAAAAAAGTTGCCAAAATTAAAAAGCGCTGGAACAAGTTTGCTGAATTTTAAGGTTTTCACAAACCTGTGCTGGAAACCCCTCGACGCACTAGTTTGTCTTCCTTGCCTTTTTACAGGCACATGCAATGGTGATCATGTGTTGAGCCCAGTATGAATCCCAGTGGAGTCATGCTTCAACCTGAATTTTCTCTCAGATTTTGTCTCTGCTAATTTAATAGAGCTGGCTTCAAATAACACAAATAATGATGTGATTTCCAAACATGTGGCCGTGGCACACTTGCATGAGAGGTTGGCAGGGAATTTGCTAAATAATCTGTCTCTCTCTCTCTCTCTCTCTCTCTCTCTCTCTCTCTCTCACTCACACACACTCAGAGGTGTGTAGCTTAGTTTTAACGCAGGGGGGTTCTGGAGCCTATCCCAGCTGTCTTCGGGCAATAGGCGGGGGAGACCCTGAACCAGTTGCCAGCCAATCGCACCTGGGGACAATTTAGTGTTCAATCAGCCTGCACCTAGGGTCACCAATCGCACCTAGGGACAATTTAGTGTTCAATCAGCCTGCACCTAGGGACAATTTAGGGACAATTCAACCTGCCATGCATGTTTTTGGAATGTGGGAGGAAACCGGAGTACCCAGAGAAAACCCACGCAAGCCCGGGGAGAACATGAAAACTCCACACAGGGTGGCCGGAGCTGGAATTGAACTCTACACTGTGAGGTCAACGTGCTCTTTTCAACCTTCTGGGATGCTGTATTTCTCCTCTTTCCGCTCTAGGGTACTTAATTTCTGTGCGCTACATGCTTCCTCTTTGAGAGTTCAACCGCAAATTCGAAGGTATATCACACCACTTGTGTGCAGATGGCCTGCGAATGTATAATTATTCTTTAACTGAATGTAGTGTCGTACGTTTTGGCTGAGTAAGCTCAAAGTGAAAGTGCTCGACTGTGCCACATCCAATTAAGGCGAAAATGTCTACATCGGACGTATGAACCACGGACGTATAATGGATATATATACTGTATACGTCATACACACGTCCACGGTACGACCGTACACATTTACAAGAGCGCTTCGAGTTGCGTTGTAATGAATCCCACTGGAGTTGCAGGCATTACACGCCCTTTCCAATATGATTGGTTGCGCCCTCGAGGGATAATCAGCCCTTGGCTACGTCGATGTAATGTGGGTGTGTGCGTGTGTCACTGCCTAGATCCCCAGTGGGATTGTGAACGCCTTGACACATTAACTTCCGGTTACGTCACGGGTCACGTGTTTGACACTCTGCCTGTGACTGAAGTTGAGGAAAAAGTTTTGACAAGCTCACAGGAATCGAAACCAGCGGGTAACATTGACGATAGAAAGAAAAAAAAGAGCCACAGCAACCATTTCCTGTGGGGAAACGATGGAATCTGTTGCCCAGGTAACAACAACACACAGCAAACGCTTTATTTCCAACGAACGCCCCTTCAGAGAGCGACTTTGTTACAGCAAGTAACTTCTCCTCTTCTTTCCAATGGTCTCTCTCCATCGTCTTTTAGAAAGTGTTGTCGTCAGGATTTACTCTCGACTTGGGTCCTCTCAAAGAGCCGTTGGCGTTCATCCGCTTGCTCGAATGGGTAAGTTTGGTCGTCGCCATATGGCCAGAAGAGCCGTCTCATGATTCCGTCTTTCTCGCTCGCAAACAAAATGAGCGCCCAAATTGATTCGGTGTCTCGTCTTAAAAATGGCTGGAGCCATTTCACCACTTTGGTGGTGCTGCAATGAGGTTTATATTTTTTTCTACTTCCGTGATGCCACGCGCTAATTAGCTGGCTGAAGTTCGTGAGGATGCTAAGCTAAAAAAAGGGGAGCAATATAATGCTGATACATTTTCTGAATCGCTATGTTAATTTCGCGTTTTATTGGGCGTGGCTCTTGCATAAATTCCGCCTAGCTGCAAGCCCAGGCAACATTTTAAAGAAGGAAATGCTCATATTAAAACACTTTGGTTCGCGAGTGAGCATTTTGTTTCCGAATACTTTGGACCACCGGTATTCGCGATACGTGAATAGGCAAAATCCGCGTATAACGGATTCCCATTTTAAATGTATTGAAGATTTCTTGAAAGAGCGAGGATAAACTTACCTCCAATACTGTTTTCCACGAAAAACGAGGGTTAAAATAATTGGAGTGAAAAACGCTTATTTACGTATGTGTTCAATATATTGGAAAAAAAAAAATCTGCAGGTGTCAATCCGCGAGTATTCGGGGGATCTACTGTCCAGCATTACCTAAATTTGTTCCATGACCAAGATTAATTTAAAATCGTCACCCACCCATGGAAATGAATTCAAATATGATTAATCTGTTACCACCCCCCCCCAAAAAAAAAAACATCACAAAAATGTGTTAGTTTAATTTATTAAAGTATTTGAAACAAATTAATGACATAAACTGGTTTTATAAAGTGTAACTATATGCTGGAGGCAAGCGAGTCACAACCACTGCAGCTGTCGTGTTTGCTTTTAAGGGCCTTGGCCCGCTGAGTGACATCAGGAACATGCATGGCCGGTTAATCTTTGGGTGGGCGTCTGGACTTGGGCGCAACGATTAATTGCATTTGCTATATAGTCGTGAATATGATTTTCTTATTGCAAACGCTGCCATTCGAGTGGACAGAGCCGGCGTTTCGACCACAGAGAGATGTCAACATTTTCTGGTGAATTTTGCCGTGTCGTGTTATGACATGAGACCTTGAGGTGTGCATCTCCTGTCTTCAGAGTTTAAAAAAAAACAAAAAAAAACCTAAATTGGCTCATGTTTATATGACCATCACAAGTGCGTTGAACCATTGTGTGCGATTGCGATTGCAGGTGTTCACAATCTTTGCCTTTGCCACAACCGGAGGCTACAGCGGCACGACCAGCATCAACATCCAGTGCCCTGGCAGCCAGATTCAAGAAATCCACGCAGACTTCAACTACCCGTTTAGGTTAGCGGGGCCTACCATGCCGTTGTCCGCTATAATTATAACAACAATAACAGCTCAGATGCGAACTCAATGATAATCACAATATTGTTTTTGGGCACAAGGAACATATTGTAAAAAATGTTTGTGACTTCCTCTCAAGTTCGCCTTTTTATTGTTTTCTATCAATTATTTTTATGGCGTTTAATTTCGTGGCGTGCCGTGAGATTTTTGTCCTCTAAAATGTGCGCCATCTAAAGTGCGCTTGCGTTCTCGCCGTCGTTTCTTCTCCGTGTTTCTTCAGGTTGATGGAGCATCCGTATGATGTTCCCACCTGTGTCGTCAACGCAACGAAGCCGGCGGTCTACTACCTGACTGGAGATTATGCTTCATCGGCGCAGTTTTACGTGTGCATCGGAGTGTTGGCGTTTCTGTACAGCACCGCCTCCCTCGTCATCTATTTGGGTTTCCAGAATCTGTACCGGGGATCGAGTCGTGGCCCGATTGTGGTACGTTTCCGTGGCTTCTTGACATTTCTCACTTGGGCGAAAATTGTTACCTCGTTGTTCTGTCATGATCCCATTTGTGACGCTGGTCAATTTGGCGAACGTTCAAAAGAAAAGCTCCCGTTCAAAGCTACATTGTATTTGTGATAACGCATTTCGGTCAAACTTTAATTAACATAAACATCCATAGATTTTTTTTTTATTTTTTAATCCCGTTTACTCTCCTTAGGACCTATTACGTGAAAGCGATCCATCCATTGTCAAATTCAATAACCACGGCAGCTTGTCACGCTTTCCACATAATTTAAAAAAAAAAACAAAAAAACTGTTACCGTATCGATTCAGGAAAGCAAGGCAGCAAAATGCTCTCGCATTCGCTGGCCAGTGTGAACGAGGCTTCGCAGAGCAGCGTCAATGAAACGTTGGCCTTTCTTGGCAGCTGACGGCAGCGCGCTTCGCTTCCATTCTGTCAGGACGCGCAACTGAAAGCATCAGCGTGTGTGTGCGTGTGCCGTATGTTGAGGTATTCTCATTTTTAGACCCTGTCAAATCTATTTTTTTAAAAACTGCTCAGAAATGATGAGTTTCTCAGATTTTTCTACTTAACGGGGAAATGTTTGCTTAAAAAGAACTTTTGTTTTCTTCTCGAGACTACGAACATAAATCCCAAATTAGGAATACAAATGAATAAATGGCCGCCCAAATGGATGAAATGACATGTTTTGTTTGTCATAGGACCTGCTGTTGACAGTGGCCTTTGCATTCTTGTGGCTGGCTTCCTCCTCCGCTTGGGCCAAAGGCTTGTCCGACGTCAAGTGGGCCACCAGTCCCGCCACCATTCTGACTTTTCTCACCATGTGCAAGGATGTCAACACCAAATGCACGGCGGGTGCGATGCCTCACATGGGCCGACTCAACGCCTCCGTGGTAAGTTCATGCGCCTTGCATATCTTGGAGATGGAAAACAAAAAACTAACAAAAAAAACTTAATAAACACCAAAAAGTCCCTTTTGTCATAAAATTCAAAAAGATTGAGCCTGCTTATTAAATTCCTGAGAGAAACGCCATTTTAGTTGCTCAATACACTCAAAAACAAAACAAAAAAATGGCCATTTTTCAAGTTAAAATTAATTCTTCAACAGAGCTCAAACTGCGGTTTAAAGTTCTGGTGCGACAGAAGTCAATGTCAACTTGGTTTAATTGGGCCAATTCAACAGAGGTTGAAATGTCATCAATCTCCTTGTGAACTAAGATGAAAGTTTGGCGCAAACGGAATTGAAACTGTGATTTCAAGTTTTTAAAGATCATAAGATTTTAAAGTTAAACCTTGTAGGTGCAAATGCACCCAAAATGTCATAAAACACTAAACGCGACTATTCCGACCCACTCGCGCAGTTTGACTTTGCTTTTAGTCGTCGTCGGAGAGTCCCTGACAGGCTATTGTGATTTTTGGTGTGGATGTTGTCACTGTAACTTTGATGGTGAAGATAAATGTGACACTTTTCTCTTCCCGGCATCCTTTGTTGTGATAAAGTCACCAAAAAACAAAAAAAAGCAAAGCCAAACACAATGAGCTCTACTGCTATTTTAATTCCGCTCCCCTTTTTTTGTGCGCTCGCAGATTTTTGGTTTCCTGAACGTCATCTTGTGGGCTGGCAACTGTTGGTTCATTTACAAGGAAACTCCTTTCCACAAGTCGGCCGCACCGCCTGCTGCAGATGCGGAGGGCGGAGGTCGGCCATCATAACTCCTCATCCCGTTCGTTGTCTTCGCGGCACGTTTGCTTCTCGTGGCGTGATGGCGCTCGAAGAACGGCTGCAGATTAGAGGGGATGCCGATTCTTCGGCTAAACATTTACACTGAAAGTTGAAGGGTCCCAATCCCGTTTCGTTGCCGATATCCGGTGGGTTGTTTTTTTTTTTACGACACATTTTTGATTGACGGTTACTAAAAAAAAAAAAAAAAACTTTTGAATTTGTCCAGGATACCAATTTGCAGCTGGGGCTCATCAGTTCCAATTTTCTTGTCAGTGTTTTTTTTTTTCTAACTTCCCTAGGCTTGAGTACATTTGAATCATTTGATGTAAATGCCGATGTTTAGAGTGCAGTTTTCAAGAAGAATGCAAACCTTTGGAATAGTTTTATTCCCGTCCTCTCAGATAATTACTTTGTAAACATTTGAAACTCAACAGCTAGAATAATCGAGGCCCTTATTCGATATGCTTGTGTTGATGTGCGCTCTACTAGTAGTAATAATAATCCCATAAGATTAATATTGGTGCTGCACTTGAATGACTTTATCCAGTTGCCAAAAACAATTCTTCAAGAATTGTTCCCCATCCTTGAGTGAAGGAATTTGTGTTCCAAATTGTTTGATTTGCTTCCGAAAATGAGATCCAAGAAGTGAGGTTTTTCTTTTTTTTAATTCCATTTTCTGTCACCTTGCACCGCATCGCTCGGCTATTCTTGTTTATTGGTTTAAAACTTGAGATTTTGATGACTATGGTTATTATTTACATTTATTTACACATTAAACTGTTACAGATGTTTTTTTTTCCTCATCTCCTTGTCTTGAATCTTTGTTGATGTAAAAAGAAGACTCGTCGTCGTCATCATGAAGGTCCAGTAGTATTTCAGCGACTGAAGCAAGAAATCCTTTGACTAATAAAATCTGCTTTGTTACAAAATGGCTCCGTACAGCCTACATTCTGCACAAAACATGTGTGCTTATTGTAAATATCTGCTTGCTCAATAAAGCCCAGCTGTGTCCATTGTCATTTGTTTTATTAATAAACCCAAGTGTCAAATGTAAAGTCTCTACATTGAACAACTACAAGAAAGCACTCATGCAACGACCGTTTTAAGCAATTATTTTCCACCGCTGTATGACATTTCTGCGCACTAGTAGAATGGTGCACCATTAACAAATATATTGCTACTAGTAAGGCAAACCTGTGCACAAACACTGTGGTCCGCAACCGCCGGTCTGCGGACCGGTACAGGGCCACAGCTACATATGTGCGTGACTCGAGTCTCCTTCTAACACTGGTTTACAAGTTGAAATCAAGAGAATCCGCCACTCAATGAAAGAAGAAGCCGTCGGCAGAAAGTAATCGTAACAAATTGAGCAAACATACTTCGCAACGCACAGCTGATGGGCAGCCATGACTACCGAAGATGAAGCTATTTGAACAAGAGAAGTTCCTCCCCTCGCGGCATCTCCAAAACGGCGTAAAGGGGGAATCTGTTGCGCTTGCTATGTCGCCAAAGACGAGGCAATACAACAAACTTGTTGAATCTTTTCAAGAAGTAGCATGCAAGTGATCAAGTGGAAGGCATGAAAATACGAGCGGAGTTTGTAGAGCCTGCCCACGTTAACATTTGCAGTTTAGGCGCAAATAACTAGCCGGCAGCCACCGGATGAAAGCGGCAGTCAATTGTGTCACATTTGCAATTAGCAATAATGCTAACGTCGTCCGTAGGATCGGAACTTCAGTATTATGTTTACATTATAAAGCGTATTTATTATACCTGATCGCGTATATCGTGTTATTTTATCTTATTCTACCTTTGTTGTACAGTAGAATAACACTGTTGGAAATGAATGGGGAAAAAAACCCTATGCTAACAAAATGTTGGATAACTATAATCATCGTTGTTGTCAGTAGCAGTGGTTTAAAACTGGCAATTTAAAAGCAATGAAAAATGGTTGCCGGTCCACGAATAACATCTAATTGTCTCAACTGGTCAGTGACACAAAAAAAAGGTTGTGGACCACTGCACGAAATGATATCTCCATTCTACTAGTACTACTACTGTAGCACTACATGCTAGCTAGTATGATTTTTTTTTATGTCACTCATAGTACTAGTTACGAGCCAATGCTTCAATAACACGAATGATGTTCATATCACAAGTCGGACAAAGCGCTTCCCTGCATTCAGTATTTATTTTGCTGGAGGTTATGTCTTGTTTTAGTCACATAAGGCTTACACAGCGTCGTTACACAGAGTAAAATGTATCCACGATGACTCAATGCATGACTACAAAAGGATAGGTCAGCTCCGTATTGGTGATCCGTGACCTTACGTTGATGCTACACTTGTCTCTGTAAAATGTCTAATGGATCCACTCAGGCTGGATTTACATTGCAGGTCGAATGGCCCAATTCCCACTTAATGCCCAGATTCCGTATGACTGTGTCGTCTACATCCACACAAAACAACACACAAAATTACATTTGATGATAAGGACACAAGCATCAACGCCAGGAAGTGACAAGGCAGAAGTCAACGATTAATACATAAATAATACAAACATAGCATCGTTTCTCCTCCACTGATTTCACTGAGGAGATTTTCCACATGACAACACATTAATTTCATCATTTAATGCATCTCCAATGTAGCATACAGTGGCGCCTTGAGATACGAGTCTCATCCGTTCCATTAAAAGCACTCAACTCAAATCATCTTTTCCCATTGTACTGACTGAGAAGCTGTTGTGTTTCTGATCTGTTCCAGCCACCCGAACAACCCAACAAAAAATTGTGTAATGTCATTAACCCTTTTGAGGACAGCGGTTACTACAGTGGATGGCTAATCATGTTATCCGGTTACAGGGTGCATGAAACGGTTAAAGGCAATGGAACTTTATTGTATAAACAAATGCTAATTACAATTCATTGTGACTGCTTCTGGTGTGTGTGGCTTGGCCACCGGGGGCAGCAGAATAAGGTCATGAAAACAAAAACAAAGAAGACTTTCACAACTACTGTCAGGGACTCTGTGGTAAAGTTAGCTCTTTTTCACAGAGGATCATGAAAACATGCTCATGGGTAATTTTTATATTGTCTGTCTACATGTCTTGACGCGCCCTTTCTGTTCCAACATCCTTTGCTGAAAGGCTTTTAACACGTTAGCCCATCTATGATGTTTTGCATTGCGTGTTAGCGTTCAGCTAGCGGAAGGCAACGTTGTGTGGTCGTAGCACGCTACGACCGATGGCTCAGATCTCCCAAAACTCATAAATCGGGTCACTCGTATCTCAAGGCTCCACTGTAGTTGCATCATATTTAATGATCTACAAACTGCTAATGTAGCTATTTTGACGATACTTCATGTTCTATACACTTTTAATGCAGCATACAGAATTGACATGGCATTAATGTCCTACATTGTACACCGCTAACGTAGCATATTTACATCATCTTTAATGCTTTCTATTTTGCAGCGGGTGTTTTCAACATATTTGTGCAGACGCAGGCATGTCGTATGTCACCAATGTCGGTGTATTGATGTCGTCAAGCTGGCCTTGATGTGGTAATACATCCCATCCGCATTGGCAGATATCCCACACGTATCGGATTCCTGGTCTGAGGCTATCCGATTTCTTCTTCTTTTTTTGTTTCCTCAAGGCTGCCATGGCACATATTCTAATGGTCACTTGAGAGCAAAGACATGGGAATTGGTGTCACTTGAGGCGCGCGATGCAAATCCTGCCTTGATCAGCTGTTCCTGCCTCTCCAATGGATGAATCAAGGTCGGCGACAAGCAACCCCCCCCCCCGCGCCCCCCTCGCACTGGATGAAATGTATAGTCTCCGCTCCACATATTCCTAATTTGCTACTTGCAAATTCACCGATTGGCAGTGATGGGAAAATGAAGCTTCATGAAGCACTTTTTGACTCCTCTAGATGATGCTCTTGGTTTAGTGCAATGGAAATGTGTTCAAATTCCACTGCATCTTTAAACCAAGAATGCCATCTAGAGCAGGGGTCCCCAACCTTTTTTGCCCCACGGACCGGTTTATGTCAGACAATATTTTCAGGGACCGGCATTTAAGGTGTGGCGGAAATAATGCAACAAAATAATATGGTATGAGCTGCATGAAAACTGGTGTTTTCGAAATATAATAATAAACACAAGGAGCGTCTAATCTGGCCGCAACACTCCAATCGCTATGGCAATGTTTAATGCCTTCAAAATACGATACAACGCAAATTCAAAGTGCATGAAAATGACGACTCACCACAGCACCGAGCTTGATTTTCTGCAACCAGACGGTCCCATCTCGGGGTAATAGGAGAGACAATGACACCGCAAGTGTGTGGTTTATGTCCAGTCTACTTCGTAATTTTGTTTTAGTCGCCGTTGCTGCAGAAAACCCCCGCCTCACACAGGTAGCATGTCGGAAATAGCAACAGTGCTACTGTGGCGATCTCAGAATATTCAGCCATAACTTTAATCCAGTTGT